CATGAGCTTCACTGCAGCTGCTCAATAACAAAAGTGGTCGCAGCAGAGACTGGTCAGTGAAAAGAAGAACTGAATCAGGTTGTCTATCTATCTATTTATTTATTGTAGAACAAAATGTGTTTCCTTCAGTTTTATGAGGCAAATTTGACAAACAAAACTGTCGGCAAAAATAACTAAAATAAGAAACTCACTAACTCACAAATGAACCTACTGCCAGTCACAGTGAGGCAGTATGTAATTATCACAGCCTTAATGGCAGCTCATTACCACAGTTGGCTGCCCATTCAAGTTTTCAGTGCCAGGATTAGAGGAACAGACAAGGACGCATGTGGGTTCACACCAACAGTTCTGAAGATGAAGGGAATAAAAGAAAGTCATTTTCCTCCGTCCGGCCTCGGGTTCAAAAGAAGCTTTACAGCACGAACGCCATTTGGCCAAAAAGAGAGAGAGAGAGTTCATTTGGTCTCTAACAAAAAGACACTTTACCGCCTTCATAATGTCTGTTAAAGCTGCGGGATCTGGAACATCACAGAATGTTCCAGGCCTGTTGAGCTGTAGGTTTGGGAACTCCTCCACCCGGACTTTAGTTGATTTGACTGACGTGACTAACAACTTACCCACGATCCACCTGTGGTGGAACAACATGGCTTTCTTACTCAGTCAATGTCGTAGTAATTTAGTTACTTTTTTAGCATCTTGGGTCCAAATACTACAAGAATATTTATGAATGTGTCGTTGATTGACTGACTTAGGAGTGTGAGAAAACATCAATGTGCTGATAATTATTTTTTATTGATATTTTATATTTTATAATTATAGATGTAATTATTACTATAATAAATAATTATATAATAATAATTTAAAAAGATATAAAAATATATAATTATATATAATTATATTATAATATTTATATTATTGATATTTTATACAATATATCGATTTGAAATCACAATATATACTATACTGCATGGCTTTTCTACAGCACTGTATTGATTTTTTTAGTTAACTAGGCTTTTATTTGTTCTCTAGTGATTACTAATGTTGATCCATCTATTCCAATTTTGTACCAGTAAATTGGTAAAAAAAAACATGTCCTGCCTATAGCATTGAAGTATTTCACAATACGTTGTACCGTTACCCTGTATCACCAGATTCTTGCCAGTACACGCCCCTGCACTGACTAAGACTGGTGACGGACGGCGACTGGGGAGGAGGATTCAAATGTCAAGAACAACTATTTCCTCCTCAAATGTGTGTCTGAGAAGTCTTGCCTAAAGTTTGGACAAGCAGTAAAACCATGAGGGATCTCTTCTTCCCACTCCACTTCTCTTCCCAACATTTTGCTGTCAAGCATTTTAGTTAATATTTTTTTTAGCTCTTCCTCTTTAGGAAGCTTTGGTTCCTGTTCCACTTGTCTGCTCTCTCCATCTCAGGAGGAAGCTTGTAACACTCAACCCTATCGTACACTTTTACACAAAGTTCCCGGGGGAAATCATTCACGGACCATTGTGGAGGAAACCGGACGGAGATTTATAAAATAACATTCCAGCCGTGGCTACTTTAAAGAAGCACAGTCATGTTTAATGGTCCTCTACCTCAATTAGCATGAAAATCACACAGGAAGGAACTCTTTTCTAGGTTCAGTTCTCCCTTATCCTGTTATGATACCACAAACTAATGATGTGGCCCCTGGTATCTGTACTTCAGATAGAAAATGGGATGAGCTCAGAGCAAGACCCACCAAAAACCAAAGACCAAAAACTAAAGGATTTAAATAAAGGCTTTGACTCCAATAACTTCTTGAAGACAGCTGGAATAAACAACAATGTTCACTGTCTACCGGGGGATCCCTCACACAAAACATGTTGCTGTGAAACATTAGCTACGTTAGCTACACAGCTCCTGGTACAGACCAACAGAGGGCAGTGAGTAAGTCTACAGCTGACAGGCTGACTGACTACATTTCCAGACTACAGACTGTAGACTGACTAACACTGTTGAAAACAAAAACATGAATCAACCAACTTTGAAAGCAGAGCGTTCTTTTTATATATATTATTTGAATTCCTGAATGAATTCATGACGTATATGTGACACAGAGGGGAGAAAGATTTCATTTTTTGGAGTGTTGATTAATCTCTATTATTTATGATTAATTAATCGAAAACATATTAATTAATCAAAAACTCATAATAATTGTACAAATGTTAATAGTTAACGGAGCTGCTATAACCGTAGTGGGAAGAAAAAAACTGATATTTGATTGGTGCCTCTGCACAGGTATCAGACCCAGATCAACAGAGCGCCTCCGTTTGACTGCGGGTCTTATCCGTGACAATCCTCTGATAACCCGTTCAATCCTTGCACAGACGAGATACTATTAACCAAACAATAGGCTGAAAATCCTATTAGACCCTGTCACTTTCTCCCTTTCAGTAATACGAGGCTTTAAAAGTTCCCTTTAAGCCCAAGTGTTATCGCTCCGTGGGCCTATTTAGAACGACTCAGAGCACAGCCAGCGTTTTGGCTGAAGGATTCTGGGAGGTCTGAGCGGTCCTGCAGGGTTTTAGTCAGAGTCTAAGTGCAGGAGGATCGATGACAAAAAAAAACTGTCGCTACAGTAGGTATTAGCAAAGTAGAATGAAGACAAGAGAAGAGCAGAAAATCCTTGTGCCTGTAAAACACTTCCACATGTTTGACCTGACTGTCACGTCTTTGTCTCATTGTTTTCCTTCTGTCTCACACAGACTGAGTCACTCTGACGTTTTGTTTACTGCAGAAAGGAACGACAGCAAGTCACATCTTTGGACTGAATACTAACCACACAGAGGTTACTATCGGTTGCCAGA